TACGGTTGCTTCCTTAAAAGTCTCTAAGATTGGTTCTAGTGTCTTCAACACACCACTATGTAAATATCAAATTATTGGTGCATTCGCACATGCTTCCACCACCCGACTTGATATTTATTTTGCTATCAATAAAGTGTAACAATTCATGGTTGCATCTCTCCACTCCCATTGGCAATATGTCTATTGTGGTCTTCACCTTAAGACTACCTCTGTTTCTCCCATTTCACTCCATGCCTACTATGAAGCTGACTAGGGTTCTGTATGCATTCTACTTCTGGGACATTTGTCTTTCTAGGCAAAATCCTCGTATCTTGGCGGGCCAAAATCATTTCATATATAAGCTCAAAATTTTGATAGAAAATATTGCAATAATTGTTTGTTATTTTCTAATTAGTTAAACCTTTCACCAATGAATAACTCAAATTGAAGGAGGTGTGGTTAGCAAATGCAACTACAATACTGCATACTCTTTCATATGTGCACTGTCCTGGCTGAGATATACAGTGTAATTATGAGGTCAATAAATCGACAGACCAACATCGAGTTAGATTGGTAAACATCATTAGCTAGGCACACTTTGAATGGTTGTTATCTTGCTAAAACACTAACTGACCCAAAGAAAAAGAGAGACAGAGAGACCACATACATATATACAAGTTGAAACTCAATTGTACACAGCTTCTTGTTGAGCAAAAAAGGCGCTACTTAGCACATGCTGTGTTTTCCATACTCCTTTGAACCATATCTTGCAACAATCATTTCGATGTTTCGCCGGCTTTATCTACTCTATCTAGCCGTTCAGCAATGTCGTAAACAATTTTCTCCAAAACCGACGAGTCTAGTCTTTTTTCTTCAGGAGAATCTCGAAGCAAATCTAGAAGCGTGCGGGGCTTTATCTTGAGCTTTGACTGTGCCCTCTACTGTTAGCCGTAACAGACCTGGAATTGCTCCTTCTTTAAGAATTAGTTCCCGATATTTAACGCGGCTGCTTAGACATAACGATAGCAATGCTCCAACGGCGTGCTCTGTGCTTACAAGTGATCCGTCTTCAACTGTCTCTACGATGGTTAAAATTCCACTGTCTGCGAGTGAGATTGCGGTTCGTCCCTCTTCAGAATTGGAGAGGATTTCAAGCAGTGATGAAGCTTTTTCTGCAAACTTTGAGTACTTTTTACAGTCTTTAAGGAGGTTGATGAGAGGGGAAACGGCACTAGCGTCGAGAAGTTCGATGGAATTTTCAATGCTGATAGAGAGATTATGGAGGGTTGTAACAGAATCAACTTTGCTTTGAACACTTCCAGATTTGAGGAATCTGAACAAGGAGAGGAGCAGCTCCGGAAGCAGCAATAATCGACTTGTTGGATGCAGCAGACGAGAGTGTTAAGATTGCGGCTGTGGCCAATTCTCGTATACCATTGTTTTGCATCTTGAGGAGCTCCACCAGAGGAGGCACTGCACCAGCTGTCACTATTTGGACCTTGTTTCTAACAAATGTGATGAATTCCAAAATGTCATGCAAAGAAAACTTTCTTATATAACTCAGAAACATAACTCAGAAAAGTAACGAATGGCGATAAGGACCCAAAGCATAAAATCACAAAGTAACAACACCAAAGAAAAGAGTTGTAAAACAACACATTAAAAATAGTGCAGATGGCTTATGAGGCATAGACACCAAAAACACGACACTGACACGTCAACACTGACAATAATTTGAAAGAATGAATAAATTAAGCATAATCACAAGAATCAATATCGATTTCGGACGCCTACATTGACACAGACACACCTTATTTCAGAGGTGTCGGTGCTACAGAGGGCTTCACCTACTTTAAAAACAATATATACAACCCAGCCAGAGACATTAGATACAACAAACATTGAACACAGGTCTCTTATTCTCAAACATTGCAAAACACTGAAAAGATATGACAAATTTTGGTTTCGACCTATGGAACCCTTTTGAATGTGGAAGCCACCAAATAGGTACACTAGATTCAATTAGAGACTCATGGTGAAGATTCATCTTAAGAGAACAAAGGATAATAAAACATGTATCTTGGACTAGCTTTAGATAGAACAGGGTAAATTTCAGGTGTTAAAAACGCTTGTAATAGGTAACCTATCAAAGCCGCTGGTTCAGCAAGGAAGTAACTTCCGGACAGAAACAACCCTAGATAGAAATTTTACTAACCTAGGTTAAAAAGGTAACTATGGAAAACCTATTAATTCTTATTTTATTTGAAGTTGTACATTGATTGAGTAAACAAACAACCATTATGGTCAAATATCTTTAATAGTGCGTTCGGCCATGGCAGACATTTGACAATGCAATTTGTGAAGGGATGCTCGCCAATGGTTGCGCCATAGGCCGTAATGGCGGATTTTTGGCTAGAGTAGGTCGGAAGGTTCAAGATTTAACAGCTGCGAATGATACAACCATCTCAAAACTGATCCAAACGGATAGATATGCTCCCAGTAAAGAATACACAGATCAGAAAGATGTTGGAAAAAGAAGTAACAAAATTTTCCAATCCATAACAACAATCATAAGCAGATCTAGTATGCACGCAACGTATCAACTTAACCTATGACAAGGCACGTAAACAAAAGGATACCAAACAGAAACCAAATCACATCACAAGAGTTCATTTTTCTAGCCTAGAAATATTAAAATCTAAATCCACAACTGAAAACACTCCTCCATGATCTTTCCCATACATTGAACACAAAATTAACCTAATCTAAACACATCATCCATCTAGTTCACAAATCATTCACAAAACAAAACTGTTCCTAGTCCAAAACCAATTATAGCATAACACTAACACATTCCTCTCAAAATCAATTCTCATCATTCTATAAAACTCACCGTCAAACTCAAAATCATTGAGATAACTAAACAAGCACAAAACTCACCAAGAACATAAAATTGAAAGAATACCCATTAAAGAAAACCCAAAACCCAAATAAGAAACAAAAAAAAAAAGAATGGATCTTACTACCTCTCATTACGAACAGCAAGGTTGAGAAGCGCCAGCAAAGAAGATTGACGAGCATCAAGATTGGAAGAAGATAGCATAAAGATAAGCGGTTGAATGACACCAACAGCCGCGAATTTGGACCTTGTTTTAGATGATTTACGAACCATTCTTCTGATTTCTCTTGCAGCTTCAATCTTAGAGTTAAGGTTTCCGTTACTTAGTTTGTCGGATAATAACTGCATTGTCAGATTCTGTCTCCACGTTGTTGATGTTGACGATGATGTTTCGCTTGTTTCTGGTTCTGGTTCTTGTTCTTGTTCTTGTTCTTCCGGTTGTTGTTGTTGTTGTTGTTCCACTTCCATTACCCTCTCTCGCTCTCCCCATCTCTTCCTCTCACCACCGCCACTGGGGTTCTTCTAGGTTCCGACACTTTTCTCGGTTCCTAATCCCTTTTCTGAGAAAATAAGGATATTTATTGCGAAAGGTGTCGAAAATTTACCCCACTATGTTTTTCTAAAATGAATTGCTAAAAGGAGAGTGATGAACCGATTAGGAGAGAGAAAATAATTTAGATTAAATAATTAATTGTCCCATGAAAATTTAACAGATAGGTTATTTATTTATCGATTTATAATTTGCAACAGATAAAACAATCACTCAATTTGTAATAAATTGGATGTAAAACTATGCTGGGGAATGGTCCTAGTCCAAGTATTATACTATAGCATAAAAGAGTGAACTTGAGTTGGAGTAGGTGAAATGGTCATGTTCAAACATATATAAGAGAGAAAGATAACACATTTCTATAGAGAACATTAACAAAATAGGTACATTGGTTTAATCACTTCTTTTAATGTATTTAACATTTTGTAGGTTCATATCAATATGAAATTAGCCACTCACATTTAAAAACTCAACAATCTTTCTTCAAATGTAAGTGTTTTGCATCTTATATACTTATATCTAAATATTAGCTCAAATACTATTTGTTGGAGAGATTGAGTAACAATAGGATAATATTTTTAAGACTTAAAAGAAACACATTGGAGAGATTGAGTAACAATAGGATAATATTTTTAAGACTTAAAAGAAACACATTGATCATATAAGAAAATTTTATGCTCTGTCATTTGTCTTTCTGCTCAACCATGTTATCATATGTGTGGCTTTATCGTTTAGCAACTCTCATTGTTTTTTATATCCTTTCTTTCACCTATTCTCTTTTTTTTCTTCCTTCTTCTCACCTATTGTTTAAAAAAATAAACCAAATGTATGGTTCAAAAATAAAGCACAAACAAAGCAATGCTTATCACTATACTATAACGACAATATGAAAATGAAACAAATCCTAAATACAAAACATATGGCAAAAATTCTAAAACAAAACCTGCTCAATCATCAATCACACCTAGCAAAAACTTCATCAAGAGATGAAAAACATGCAAACATGAGAGACTTGACTCTCACCCCGAAAATCTTGCTAACAAAAAATTATATTATGCATTCATCCTAAAAACTCGTATTGAAAACATAAAATCAAGAATCAGAAGGACTTTTCACGGGTTGTAGTGTAGCTTGGTTAGCAAAGAAGGGTCAATTTCTAAAGGTAATTGAAACAAAAAGTTGTCTAATCCTATGGGAGTTATCAATTCACAAAGGTTGAAGCACAAAATATTGTTTAATAGTCTCTACATTTCTACTCTTGGTTTTGAATGGTTTAAAATGTAAAGTAAAAGTAAATTACATGAACAAGAAAATAAATACATTCTTTGGAGAGGAGAGACCTCGCCGGAATTGAATTTCATCTACGCGTCAAATAATTAAACTTATTGATCAATTGCACGAAATCTAAATCACTTGTCAATATCATCATGTATCACCCACAATAGAGGTTATGTCTAACGTAAAGTTGAGAAAATAACTCTATTTCCTCATCGGCTATGTTTCACACAACTAAACAACACATAAGCATTAAGAACTAATATCCACTGTGAATATTAAGTCTAAATCTATCTATAGAGTCTAGAACCTAATAGATGTTCATCTTAAATCTCAATTTTGAATCGTATATGTCTAAAGTAACTCAAATCCAACATAAACAAGCAATCATAGATATTAATTTGCAAACTAGATATCATACAACACCATGATCAACAAATATACATAAAATCAGAGTAAACTTACATATAAACCCCAACAAATAGAGAATACAAAGAGAAGAAAGAAGAAGAACTAAACATCTCTCACAGTGTCAGGACGATTAATGAGAAATCTGACTCTGAATCATCAAGATGCAACCTCCATTGTTGTTGTCTAAGTTTCTTTACCAAAGAATGTTGGTGATAGAGTTGTGGATAAAAAATCCTCAAAACCATAACCTAACAAATCTGAACAAATGAATATATATAGTGGCTGGAAATTGTAGACTGCGCTTAGCCCCATCAGGGTGCGTTAATCGCGGTGCCACTTATTACACCTAAACATACTGAGAGCGTTCTAAGCACAGTCGGACCGGGCTAAGTGGGCTCAGGCTTCCAAAGCTACTGCCAAGTTTTTTATCTTGCGCGGCAAAATGGGTCAAGCGCATGTCGCGCTGCAACTTGTGCTGAGCGAGCTTGACATGACTTTATTTCTCAAAATTGCATATTTGAATATATGCCTTTGGCTCTTATTGATCGACACTTCAATCACGTATGAATACTTATAAAAAAGACATGAAAAACCATCAAGTGATACAATATTTACACGATAATACAACTATACACAATATGTACATATTTATACTAAAGTTGAGGTTTTAACATAAAAACCAAAAGAATAAAGCTAATAAGTGTCACATAATACTACTAAAAATAACAATATTTTGGCCCTTATAAATATTATCACATTAAAGAATAATCAATAAAAATAAGAATGGCGTACCTGGTAGAATTAGATATTCTCGTAGAAGAGAATAAGTAAGAGAGTATTACTACCTTCATTATCGTCAAGGGTTTCAAAAGTATGTTATTCTTCTAATGGGATAAAACTTAAATAACTAAACCACTGATGGCACATATCTCTCATTGGGCTTAACTGAATGATTCAACTCATCATTGTCCATTCAGGTACCAGTATATTTGAGAATTAACCCATTTTGTAAGTGCAATATCCTCTCTTAGATGTTTAGAATGATGTCAAAATTAGGCAATATATAATATTTGTACATTGGGCCTTATCTTTCTATTTCTAGGTTGCATATTCATCTTAGGGCACTTATAGATCAACTCAAAAGCCTTTTGATAAGTTAAAAATGTCAAAAATATGAATTTTCATGAAAAAATATGTTTGGAATCGACCCATTCGTGTTAGTAAGCGACTCCCTCTAATGGAAAAATTAAAACAAAATTATTTACATCAAAGGAGTCGATACATGGGCTATTGGAGTTGACACATAACACGAATAAGTTGACTTCCTCGAGTTGTGGGTCAACTTACACTGAAAGCATTTTTGAAATAAAACTTATATCTAATATGGGTCGACACATTGGGCATTTGAAGTCGACACACATAAAAAATGGGTTGCTCCCACGAGCTGTGGGTCGACTCCTACTGAAGCATTTTTATTTCAAACTTTTATGTCCACTTGGAGTCGACTCAGTGAGTATGGATCGACTCTCCTGTCCTTATGAGTCAACTCCCTACTCGAATGGGTCGACTCCCTCTGACTTAAAATTGTCCCATTTTGTAATTTTGCAAACTTGATTCTTTTTCAATTTTCTCTTTTACACACACACACATACCTATATATAGTCATTCATGCATCATATCAAAGTGATTGAAACCAAAAAAATATACAAAGATTTTTTCATCATCTTTACCCTCTCTTATTGCATACATACAACAACTACACATAGTCATTTTTGTTGTGAGATCTTGAGATAGTTTGATAAGGCCAATTAGGATTATTTGTAATCAATTGGGTTGGAAATTATTTGGAGGTTTCAAGATGAATTCAGTTGGAGTTTTCTTCCAAGATCAAGGATTGATTTAGGAGTTTTTCATAAGATTTTGCAATTTGGATTCATCCGAGTGAAAGCTTTGAAGAATGGTGGTTCTATCAAAGGAGTAAAGGTAACCGAAGAATCATTTTGGTAATCTTGGGTCACAATAGTTTGCAATTTAGATTTAGCTGAGTGAAAGCTTTGGAGGGTTGGATTACTACTTTTTCTCTTGTAAACTAAATTTGCAAAGGTTAATTTTCATTATCTCAATTCCTTTGGAATTGGGGGCAAACGTACTCATAGTGAGGCCGATTGGGGAACTTCTTAAACAAATCTCTCTCTCTCTCTCTCTCTCTCTCTCTCTCTCTCTCTCTCTCTCTCTCTCTCTCTCTCTCTCTCTCTCTCTCTCTCTCTCTCTCTCTCTCTCTCTCTCTCTCTTACTTTTACTTGCAAATTGTGAACCCATTGATTTTGCAATAGATACATTTTCCAAAATCACAGCAAAACGTCACTTTCGGGTCTTGGTAGTCGAACCCCTAATTTCCTTTATTTTTCTTTTATAAAGCGGATAAAAAAGTGTGTCAGCAAAAAAGTTGCAACATTGCCGCATTGGCTTTCAACGTGGGCGCATTGCATCATCATCACTCCAACGCAGACGTGTTGCTTTATGGCACAGATGTGTTAGCTTGTAACGTGGGTGCATTGGTAGGTAGTGTGTGCGCGGGAATTCCAGTAGTGAGCAACGTGTTTTTATCTCTTTTTCTCCAATTTTCCATACTAAGTACTTTTCTCCCTTCAGAAGTGTTTTTCTGGTTTTTCCACTTAAATGCTTCTAACTTGCTCAATTCTTGTCAGAATTCGACAATTTTTCTTGATAAATGATGTACACTGATAGCCTATCATAACTAATATTTGTTAATAAACTCACTCATACCCTTTATTATTTAGTCATCTTTATTGATAATTATGTTTATGTCCAGGATCAAAGTACAATACAGACGATTGGAATAGGGAGCGAGTCTAGAGGATTATATCATCTATCTCAACCTGTGGTATGTGCTTTTATTGCTTCTAAAAGCCTTACCCATTAACATTTGGGTCACCCTAGCCTTAATAAAATGCATCTTTTGGTTCCTAGTTTTTCTAAGCTTTCGTCATTTGAGTGTCAGTCGTTTCAATTAGGCAAACATACTTGTCACACCTATTGTCAACAAGTAAATAAAAGTGTTGCATCACCTTTTAATTTAGTTCATTTTGAT